TATGTTGACGGGTGTAACTTTTTGTTATCTAAATTAAAACCCAACAGGATGGAAAGATTTCTGCCACTGGCCAAAGGAAGATACTGTGCTCATGACACCACTGTGGTGTCGCCGGCTGTTGAGCGTTAGTTCGCGCACGACACCACTGTGGTGTCGCCGGACGGCATAGTGTTAAAATATCTTTAAAATATCTGATAATTTGATGTGCATATGTCTTATGATCACTTTTGTCCGCCAAATGTTTTTTTTTTCAATTTTTTTTTATTGGATAATCGAAACCGCTAAACCTGCCTCCCACAAATTCAAGCAGTTATTTATTCTGTAAATTTTTTTTGAATGGTATTGGACGCTTCTTTTCTAAAAAAACTGAATTATCATTTTTGGTATTTTGGCCCGTATCTTCAAAACAGTTGGACCTGCCTTGGCCAATAACTAATCAGAACGTCTCCTCATCAATAGGAATTTAATCATTTAAATCGGTTGATCAGTGTTCTCGAAATCGACTTGAATAATTAAAAAATATTATTAGATTTATATTGATTAAAAATTATTATAAGATTTGTATTGATAGGGAGACGTGCTGATTAATTTTTGGCACAGGCAATTACGAAAAATGGTAATTTGGTTTCGATATTTCTTCTCTGAAACAGCTACGCAGCGCGATTGCTTTGCAAAAAGTTCATAATTTTCAAAAAATTTCAAAATACAAAAAATGTGTATTAAAAGTAAATTTAAAAAATTTTTAAAGCCCTTTATAAAATGTAATTTTCAGTACGGGATGTTTCAGTAATTGTCTTAAGGCACAATGCCATGCGTCACTAGTTAAATTTTTTTTCGACGCTATAAGCTTGGATGTGCACATTTGTCATTTTAAGAGAGCTGGAGAACTGAAGAACTTCTTAAACTTACAGCTTATTTACGGATCTTTATTATAGCCAAATTGCCAAATTTGATAACCTATTAGCCTATTTGATAATTTACGTTCGGAGAGGGAGGCAAGGCAAAATAATAAATTTTAATAATCGGTTATTTCAACACAAATTTTGCATTGCAATCGTATCGTGTTTTGTTAATTATATTACTTGAAATAAAAAATGTTGTTAAAAAAAGTTGATTATATTGTATAGAATTTTTTTCTCACTATCCAAATTTTGCCGCCCCCAAAAATTTGCCGCCCTGGGCAGTAGCCCCGATTGCCCCTACTGTAAATCCAGCACTGCTAATGACAAACTTATTTTACAAAGATGTTAAATCTCTATAAAATATCTGATAATTTAATGTGCATATGTATAACGATCATTTTCGACCGCCAAATTGCATTTTAACTGCCCATAGGGTAGTTAAAGTAATGGGCCGAAAATCGAAAATGAAAATTTTGCATATCTTCACGTTTCAGATGTTTCTAAACATTTTGGCATACCTCAGAAAAAATGGATGTGTGCGTGTGAGTGTGTTTTGTATGTCCGCATTTTTTCGTCCACGTTTTCAGGCCCACGAATCAACCGATTTGATGGTTTAAAAAACATTCGATTCCTATTGATAGGGAGATGTGCTGATTAGTTTTTGGCAGAGGCAAGTCCAGCCGTTACAGAGATACGGAGCAAAGAGTGCAGAAAATAATAATCGAGTTTTTGAGAGAACGGAGTATCTAATTTGAATAATCTAAAAAATCTTCAATTTGTAATTATTGGGAGAAGAGAGGATTAGTTTTTGGCGAAGACAGGTCCAGCCATTTTGAGTATACAGAGCTAAATGTACAAAAAAATGGCAGTTCTTGAGAGAACTAAGCATCTGATTTGGATGATTCAAAAAACTTTCTGCTTGTTTTGACAAAATAATTGCTTTGGAAAAAACTTTTTATTTTCAAAGATTTTTTTTGTATATCAAAAATAATTCGGATTTTAATTTTAATTCTGGCTTAAGTTCTAAAGCTCACTTATATATATACTTTAAGTCAATAATTTTAATTTTGTAATTCAGTTTATATAATTCTTATAGATATTAGATACTTTAACAATACGATTTATCGTATTTATAATAATCTATTTGAAAACATGTAATATTCTTCGAAAATTTCGTTATGCTGCGGAAAGTACCAGCAATTTGCCTTAAGGCACAATGCCATGCACCACTAGTTACTTTTTTTTATTCGATATCCGAAACCGCTAGACCTACTTTTCCAAAAATTTAATCAGTTCTTCATTTTATCAATAAAAATAGAATGATTTCTAAGTCATTTAAATCGGATGTTCCGTTATCTCAAAAATTGAATTACCATTTCTGGAACTTTTTGCACCGTGTCTTCAAAACGGCTGGACCTGCCTTTGCCAAAAACTAATTATCACGTCTCAATGCGAATAGAATGTGTTTTGAATTATTCAAATTTGTATCCGAATACAAACACCATACATCAATTTTTTCTAAGGTATGCCAAAATGTTCAGAAACTTTCGCAAAATAAAGATTTGCAAAAATGTTTATTTTCGTTTTTTTTTTGAATTACTTACCCTAACTTACCCTAGGGAAAGGTAAAATGTTTTCATTTTGGTGAAAAGTATTTAATGTGATTTAAAAAAAAAAAAACTTATGTAATAGCTGTAATTATATTAATGAAATTCATCATATATATATATATATATATAGAGCAGGCCGAGGTGGGTATCAACCATGGAACCATTGGTTACTAGTTCATTCTTATTATATTTATATACTCATTTTCATTTAAAGCATTGTTTTCAATATTATAATCAATGCAGCTAAACATGTTTTTAAAATCCATAAAATTTTATGAAAACACTGCAGAATTAAAATCGTATCTCAAATTTAATTATTCCGTTGGCCACAAAATAATGAAATAAATTATGAAGAAGATATTTGTTATCAATATTTCTTTTATATAATAATAATACATACACAAAATATTTAGCAAAGTAAGCATAATTAAGTTCAAGTTTACCATTGCAAAATACTTAGTTGTTATTGTACTAGGAAGTCCTCTCTCGTCATTAGTAAACAAAAAAATTACAATTAGGAAATGAAAAAAAAAATTCAAAATTAAATTTTTCAAACTGTCATTGAAAAATCGGATATGTTTGTCAAAGTACGCACACATTAATTGTGTGTACAAATGCTACATATTTTGTAAATAAAGTATTGAACAAAAATAAATAATTGTATATTGTTTTTACAAAAATGACTTCACTCTCTCGGCCATTGTACAAATTGCTACAGATCGAATAACACCTGCGTTTATTTGAGTTGATAAAGTGAGAAAATTTGGTTCAGAAATTGTGCCCGAAATTATTAGTGATAATATTCAAAGCGTTGTGATTTAAACACATATGTAAGTAAAAAATAATTTGTTTAAATTATGAATAGAATAATAATTATATAAATAAAATTATTATATGAAGTGATGATATTTCAGATCTATTGAACAAATTTTATCTGCGCAAGTGCTCAAATTGAAAGAAAGAAATACCAAAAACGAAACAATAATCTCGTATATGAGTGAAGTCTGCTTTGATTATTTCTCTTAAATCAAGAGATTTCTTTAGAAACTGGACGCTTTCTGTTTAATCAACTCAAACAAAGTTAATTTACTTCTTCTCAAAAGAGGTTCTGCACAAAATGACTTCAACAGCCGAAACAAAAAGTTCAAATAGCCTTCGAAATAGATTCAAAGCCAAGTCAGTGTTATGGACAATTTTAACAATCATGTTTTATGCTCTTATGATTTGGTTGCTATCAAATTTGAACCAATTTTTCATGGAAAAAGCAGCAACTATGCAGTGTCCGTCATGTTTGGCCAAAAAATTATTTTATGAACCTTAATGTAAGATCAGAGCAGAAAGTTTTTTGTATAATAAAAAAGCATTTACCATGTGCTTAAATAATTTTTTGAGTGATTTACTTTGTAAATCAAACTGTACTCTATTTTGTCAATAGCATTAATAAAATTATATTTAATTATTTGACATGGTGCAAGTGAAAATTGCATTAAGAACAAATTTTGAAACAATGTAAATTGATCACAGTATAACTTATTTCATTAAATGAAATTAAAGAACAAAATCTAGTTAAAGCAAATAATATAAAGAGATTAATACATTTTCGAAAATTTTTTAGTCCGCAATAAAAATATATGCAAAAAATTTAAAGTTACCTGATTTCATTTGGATTTGTGTTTTGAATGCAATTACAGCAGAACCTCGTTATGACGATTATGCTTATTACGGTTCTCGCATAATACGTCACCTTACGACGGTTCCTGGAATTTGAAACATACTGTCCCTATCCCGCACAATACGCTTTCTCGCTTGAGAGGCGTTTTTGGTCCGGTCCCTAGAACATCGTCATAACGGAGTTTTATATGATTAATTTTAGGTAATTAGAAAAAAATAAGTAATATCAATTAAGATGATCATAATTACACAAATATAATTGTTAATTTTAATTATATTATTGTTGTATATTTATGAAATAAAGTTATATTTGAAAGGTAAAATATTAAATTTTATTTATAAAAATATTTACAAGTCTCCGATAACAAGTATATAATTGATTCACTTAACATCATTAGGTGTATTTTAATCATCAGTTTTATGATATTCATATATAAAATAATGATGATTGTTTATAAATAAAATGTGTATATTTATTTTTCATTTGATACACATGCGTCAACAAAAATGTATGATTAAATATTAGAGAGGGTACTGGTAAATAATTTACTCAAAATGTTCATGAAATAGTTTGAGCAAATAATAATATGAGTTCTAATTAAACTAATATTAGTATAAATTCAATATAAATATGGCCCATAATTATAAAAATATGAAAATATTGAGAACTATATATCCAGATATACGTTGAATTGAAGTAACCAGAAATCACTATAATAAGTTTGGATAAAAGTAAATAAAATCTAGGTGTTGAGAATAAAGTGTTGATCTTAAAAATAAACTCATTTCTAATATTCCTAATGTCATGATATATGCAATATAATATAACATAATTCAAATATTAAATTAAATATAACCAATGATAATTAATCGGCACGTCAACAAAAACATTAATATATCTCATGAGCCGTAAAACTAAACCATGTTCGAAATTTGATTTATACGACGAAATTAATAATTTTTAATGAAACGTTCATAATAACTAACGCAAAAAATCCATGTAACTTATCCAATCCGTATTCTTATTATTATTAATTAGTCAAAATATTTATTTTACGGCAAATAGGATATTTTTTAGATATTTTATTTCTATCTCTCATGTCCCAAAATGTGGAATGTTTTCCCGCACCTAATTCGTACACCGAGTAAAATATTTATGTAATGACTATATATAGCTACATTTAAATAAAAAAAAATCAATAAATTATAATTCAGCAATTGGTTCCAGCGTGGTGCTAGTTGTGAAGAAAAACCCACTTATCCAGTAAAACATCAAACAGAAGAAACCCAGTTTAGTGAGTTTGTCCACCCAGTACATTCTGAAAAATAAATATAAATTAATAACATTTGAAATACATACATATATGTAAATATTTAATAATCTGAAACTTATATTTGTACAGCGTTTTTGTTAAATGATATTTTGTGGATGTGGTGATGTGAAATTTAATAAATATGTGATCAAATTCCATATACTTGTATAGCCAATTGCTTATTGGAGCAATTAATATCATTCGTTCTTTTTTATTCGTTTTTATTATTTTATTTATTTTTTATTTTTATCTCTTATTTAGATTATTTATTTTTTATGTGTAATGTAGACAATAACTTATAGAGTTCTATCAATAATTCTCATAGTTGTATAATATTGAATGAATCAAAAAATTTCATATACATAGTCCAAATCTATATTAAATATTAAAATGTTTAATTTATCTATATTAAATATTAAATAATAAAATATTAAAAATATTATTATTTTTATTAGTATATTAATGTATATAAAAGTGATTCTTAGACTTAAAAATGACAAAAATAAACTTTTACTTTCACTTCTTTATATGCAAGTGAATAAATTATAAGTTTAGCTTTTAAAACTGAACTGAAATTAAAATTTTTCATAATTCGCATAAGATTTTGGAAAGTTAAAAGTAATAATGGTAAAACAAAGTTAAAAAAGATTTTTTTCTACAACAATCAGAGCAGTTACATTCCATTATTTTTTAAATAAGAACAATAAAAAAAAAACATACCAATATAAGCGTAAAATAATAATAATATGATCTAACAATTGAATTAAATTAACTTACATATTCTGATGATACAATAAAGAATTATAGAAATTGTTCCAATGAGCAATTTATTAGGTTAGAATAATATTCATTGTAAAAATAATAATTTATTGCATAAAAAAAGTTAAAAAAAAGAGATGAATCGCTGCTAATAATTTTTTTTGGTAATGATAATTAATAATTAATTGTAATTGTAGATAGTAAAATAATAACAAATTAAAATTTATTGCTTGAAAGAAGTTCAAAAAAGGAGATGAACCTGCTCCTTATAATTTTGTTTTGTTAATCATAATTAATAATTAATTATAATTGCAAACTATATAATAGAACAAATAATTTATTGCTTAAAAAAGTTAAAAAAGAGATGAAACGCTGTTAATGATAAATGTAATTATAATGATTTGAGCGATATATTTTTAATGGAAATATAATAATAATGTCAGAAATATTTAAGATTTCTCGCGATTGTTTAACCCAAATTTTGAAATATGTAGATAAAATTAAAAAGCCAGAAAAAAATTCAAAAAATTAAAGACCAGCTCCAAAAATTTCAAATATTGTCGAATTTTTTAAAGTAATGCACATATATCAACTTCACAAAACACAGAACACGAAGAACAAAATTTGAATACCGTATCATACAAAAATTGGATTAAATAATTTTAGCATAAAATTGATTATCTTAAATATTCATGTAAAGTTAAAAATCGTACTACTTCTTCACTTTCTACTCGTGCACATCTAAAGTGCAAAAAAGTCGAACGCACCTGTTGCGTTCGCCGCCGGTCTTTTGACAACGGTTTCACGCAACATGTGCGTGCGCAGAAGTGAATGTGTTAAGCTGTCGCGCTTTTTAATCTGATGTTTTTTTTATAATTATTATACTTTTTATTTCTTCAATTGTTAAAAAGTGTTCATGCAAAAAATATATAAAAAAAATAATTACAACTTACACTCTCATATGTCTCCTGGCAGCTGGCAGAGTGTCATCCGTCTCGTTCAAAACGTAAAGACGAGAACAATGAATGCAAGCTTCAAAGTAATCCATCAAATCCAGACCTAAAATCAAATAATTCATTAAAAAATGTAGTAATTGATTATTACACTATTTAATTATTTACTTACCATCGCCATCAATTTTGTATATTTTCCGCTCTAAAGGATTCATTATCCCTCTAACATAAGAGGCGTGCTCGTTTACGAAATCCCATTGGTTATTGGCATAATATTCGAAAACTTCGAAACCTTTCATTATCCTACGTTGAACTCTGCATAAACTGAAATAAAAATGATACAGTTAAGTAACAATCAAAATAATATTCAAATAATAGATAGCACTATTCATATACTTATATCGTGAACAGCTTACTAAACCGTACGAGATACTCATACTTCTCGTCAAAGAAAAGAAGTAGAACAGCAATTTTTAGGTAAAATAATATTTTATATAATAGATATCTAACTAAGAAAGAATTTGATATTAAGATCATATCATTATTGTTTTATGTTTTGCATTGCATTGGACAACTTTTGCGTCATTTGAGATAACTAAACTTTCACCTGCTTTAATATTATTCTAAAGTCTAATTTAGATTTTTAACTGTTGCTAGGTATTTTTAATGTCAAGATAGTTATGCAAAAATTTTATTATAAATTATTCATTTGATCTGTTTTTCTGCAGCATGATTGGGTGGTTATGGTGATGTAAAACTATTTCGTTTTATACACCGAAATATTTTTTATAATTTCGATTAAATTTGTATGTAAAATGTCAAGATATGCCATCGAGCCCTAAAGAACTCAAGAATATATTCAAAATATCATTATTTAAGCATGCTCTAAAACTAATTTTTAATATTTTATTATATTAGTGTATACTTACACTGGTTTATATCCCAAAGCATACAATAAACAGTCAACTAAAACGGCAGGAATAAAGTGGAATAGAACCAGGCAGATATAATGCAGAATTTTTGAGGATTTCATAGAGCCACCAGGATACCTGAAAAATAATTTGAATATTAGAAATATTTAGAAACTGGTACCTATTTTTGATTTTTTTTATATAATTAGAAATTTTCTCAATCAAATTAAATAAATACCAGGCAACTCCATTTAGTGGCAGTCTTTCTTCAATAACTCGTCTTCCTAACTCTACAATTTCTTGCCAAGATACTTTGAATTCGTCAGAACTTGTGAAATGCAGCACATTTCTTTCTTTATCACTAAAAATAAAAAAATAGGATATCGACATCGTTATGTAAAATAGTAAAATAATAGTATATAATATAATATAAATAGTATATATATAATATAAATAATAATATATATAATATAAAAAGCCAATTTTTCATAAATAATAAACATTGATCAATGGTTCCGAAAAGTTATGCCTATAATAACCATAAATATTTATATTTTCTATCAAACAACTATAAATTAAGGGACTGATTCTGCCGCATAACAGACCAATGTTATGGCAAGGTCATGTTACGCTCCAACTTCCATACATTACGATACTGAATCATACTGAATACTGTCAAAACGTCATGTATTTGAAGTGCATTCAGGCGTTTTACATATAAACTGCAACGCCATTCGTATGTTATGGAGCTGAGTCAAAAGACCCTGTTATCTAAAATCGTTTTTTAACATTTGTGCGGTTTTTATGTTACGCCTAGACTGCACACTAACCACATGGCTTTTGTCAATACTTTGTATGGAAAGTTCTTTATAACATGGCTTGCCATAACATTTTTCTGTTATACGGCAGAATCGGTCCCTAAATATATAATAAAAGCATCATAACCATTTTTTTAAATCGTAAATCCGTTTTTATATAATTTAGTTTTTTAGTAAAATCTATGAAGTCAAATGTTGCATTTAAATCAATTAGTTTGTTTTTAATTACTGCACGTAGTCAATTTTAAAGCTAGATACCAAGTTGCAAAATTAATTTATACTACATAAAATATTTATTTTATTTGATATCTTACTTATTTGCAATGTAATTCCATGTGACTACAAGTAATCCATTAACAGCAATATCTACAGGTAAATAATCTGCATATCCAGTTTGGTTGCAGTACATTGTTCGGATGACACCTTTACCGGCTCCTGTTTTTGGGCAATAATTAATACAAATTAGTTATAATAAATTAAAATAATTATTGTAAATATTGGACAACATATGTATTAAATTTTAATAATAAAATATGCTTACCAATAAGCAATCCTGCCGGTCCGTTGATGTTGTCAGTCCAACCAGGAATGGGTTCTTTCCAAACAGGTATAACTGAAAATAATATTAATTAGCTATAATATGATTCATATAAAAATAACAAAAAGTTTATACGCAATTTTATGTTAAACTTTCTTGTTATAAAACTTAAATATATTATTCTGAAAATTCTATTATGTAAATCATATTTACCAATGGACGGGCGTATGATGATGGCTGGTATAGTCTGCATAGCTTCGACCACTAAACCTTCGGCTAAAGCTTTGGTAAAAGCATAAGTATTGGGCAGATTTCCAAGAATTCTGATAAAAATAAAAAAATATTTAAAATACAAGTGAGTGATACATAAATATAATGCTCTTGAATAAAAACATACAAGGTTTCTCATAAACTTTCATATTCATTGAGCTGTGAATATTTGTTAATCACCATGCGATATAATGGTAATTTTTTATACTAATGTTATGATGGTTTCCTGTAGTTTAATCATATTTGTGATAAACAGTTATATATTATTATAACTTACAAACCTTAAAAAATAGAGCACCAATCATCTTTTATTCTACACGTTTAATTAAAAGGTTAAATTAAAATTTATTCGTTCTTGTATAAATTTTTCAACAATTTTACAAGCACAACTTTCGGAAGGCATTGGCCAGTAAATCCTATTTGTTAATTTTAGTCATTCTGAATCGTTTGACGATATGTAAGTCAAATCTGATTTCTTTCACGCGTTCTCAAAAAAGAATTAGTTATTTGGTTCAAAACTTTTTATTCACGTTTTCGTAAAAGATCTGGAACCAATTTTAAATAGATATCAAATAAGATTTATGCTGATTAGTTTCTGGTAAAGGTCGTTTTTCGAAATTTTTGTTTTTGATCACCGATCGCAATTGATCGTCTACACTTGAATAAGTAAAATCTGATTCTTCTTTCACGTGTTCTCAAAAAAAATAGCTATTAAGTGCAAAACTTTTTATCCGCGTTTTCGTAAAAAAACTGAAACCAATTTTAAATAGATATCAATTGGGAATCATACTGATTAGGTAAAAATCGGAATAATTTTAAAATTTTGGTTTTTGACCATCAATCGCAACTGATCACCGTTACGATCACTTGAATAAAATACTTTTTTACAGAACAAAGTAAAATGTGTTGAAAAATTAAATACAATATCAGATTGGGCAAAATTCAGCAATATATGAGTCCAGAATATTAAGTACAAAATTATTCGGCATGTATCAGAACAAAAATATTTATTATATATATATTTGCATTAATTACTTATAAAATTGCACTTTAACTAATGACGCTATTTATATTTCATAACTATAAAATTAGTATTCAATGTAATTAATTGTATTAATCATAGATTCTAATACTTTCTTTAAAATTTAGATTAAGTTTCTTCTGAATAACGGTGTTTTTCTGTAAGGCCAAATAAATTTATATTGGTGATTATTAGCTTGCTAAGTACGAAAATCATTGCCTGGCAGGTTTCAATCCTGCACATCATCATCAACCAGGAGTTTAAAAATACCAAAAAAATACCAAAAAAATACCAAGAATTGGTCATGGTCCATAAGTGGATGGTCAAATTTTAGAACGTATCGTTTAGATGCACTTGGAAAAAACCTGGTATGCAGTATAAAAAGAAGTAATTTCCTAACTAAATGAATCTCAATTCAAACTTGCACATCAATGAACCAATACCAATAGAACCAGGTACGAAGTCTGCACATCAATGAATTACCAATAGAACCAGATACGTATAATAATTCACTGACTCTCGTGAACTATATATTGTAGTTTTTGTCTAATCATAGGTTATCTACGATGTGTTTTTATCAACAACTAATAGATGTAAACAAATCAACATATGTTAATAATCTCACTTTTTAGTCATAGAATTAACAAGGTCTTCATCCATCCATTCAACGCATTTTATGATGTCATGTGGATTCGCTGGAGGATCGTATGGTTTTTCCAATAATACCTTCTCGTGCAGATGACAATAAGAAGTCGAGACATGCGCAAACATCTAGAGGAAAAATTATATTAGAACGAATCAGTTTTTATATTAAAATGATAATAAACACTTGATAAACAATGCTGTTAAAGTACCTTGAGATTCTTGCATTCCTTAGCCAAGTCGAGCATGAATTTTGTACCTCTAGTATTCAGAAGTACGGCTTCTTTTAGAGGTGAATCGAATCTAAAAATAATTAAGAAATAAATGGTATAAGTAATTGTTCAATACATAAATTTAAGTATAACAAAAATTTAAGTATAAGTATTATAAAATAATAAATTGCGTTCCAATTCCAAGGAACAGCAAAGGATTCCAAGGAACAAGGCAAATGTTAGCAATTATTAGTATATATATTAAAATAGTTACATAATTGTTCTACACAGGTTGGCAGAAAATATAAAAAAAATATAGATCATTAAATCAAATCAATTTGAAATGTATCTTATCCCTATTAGTTAAATTTGTATTTTTCAATATGGAAGTTTGAATTGTTCTATATCAGTTCGCAAAAAAAAAAAAATATAATAATATAGGCGTATCAAATATAAAAATAATTTTAAAATTAGTGGTGGAAGAAAATGATCTCTACATAAATCTAAGTAAAAGAATTATTACAGACTTACAATTGAGAATTTAAAAAATGCTAAAAATTACAGGTGATAATTTTGGAAAAACAAACAAAAGTTAGCAATTAGTTTAGATATTAAAATAAATTAAAAAAATATAGTTATATAATATTAGTCAAAATTATATTTAATTTATTAAATTAAATAAATTTGAAACTTATTTTACTATCTAGGTTTTAAGATGAAAATTTAGAAATATGGCTTCCTTTAAAAGTGAATCAGTTCTGAAAACATTTATTAAACAAATAAAAGATGATAATTTCAAATAAAAGAAGGTAATTAAAAAAAACATGTTTCAATTAATAACAACTATTAAAATCTAGCTAATATTTTCAAAAAAAGCCAAAGTAAGCTCTAATAATTAAGTTATTAAAATTGTTCTACACCGGTTTGTATTTTAAATGGACAGAAAAAGTAGAAACATTATTCATTTTACAAAATCAATTTCAAAGTTATTTTATTGAAAAATTATAATTTCTCATTATGTAAATGCATCAATCCTATAATTTATTAGAATACAACTAAATATAATTTAAATAAAAAATTCTAGTAATGTTATGTCACGGTATAAAGCGTTATTACCAGATAAAAGTAAAATGATTATTATAATTAATGCATAATTATTAATATTAATTGAAAGCACGTGTATATATTTAACATGCGCTTATTTATGCTAATTTCACAGATAAAACTGACATATCATAATTGGCTCATCATTCTGAAAAACGAAAATTTGAAATATAGTTTTTCTATCTTATGATAGTACGAAGGAGACAAAAAAACTTGTTTTTCAGTAACAGGTTATCTTTTAAAATTGAACGCAAATGAATGTCGAGCACATGACTTGTATGTAATAATCAGAATTTATAAATGATGTAATAATTGGAATATTAATAATTATATCATGGAGTAAATTACAAAGGTTCAGTTGGTCATTTTTACCCGACGCTATTTTTAAAAACGATCGTATCCTAAAATTGACAACACATCTTATAAAACAAATAAATAACGTATACTTAAAAATTATATTAAGGTCCCGTAAACTAAACCACAGTGCTCACAACCAAAAAACTAGCAACTAAAAGAAAAACTTTTGATAGATTTTCATCTTTTGATTATTTTAAATATATAATTATGAAAAGACTACTGAGAGTCTTTTAACATAGTGTGATATTACATGTACTTAATAGATTAATAAATCATTATTAATACACCATTTAAACTTTAAGTCATAAAACCATGAGACATCGCGCAAAATGTCTTCATTTCTAATGTCGCAATTTTCTGAAGAAGATTGATGTTTATATGTATGTATACTTTGTATGCAAGTCTAATGATTTCTAATTCATATTGCATAATACTAGTACATATGAGTAAACTATCTCGTACATTTTCTTAAGCTCGAAGAGAAATTTTCATTATTCCCTACAATGCAATGCAGGCAATAATACAATTGCAATTGGCGTTGACATAATTTTGTTGATGGTAAGAAGAGTTTCAATTAAAAATACATTTGTCATTTGAAAGTATAAAAATACTAGTTAAAATAATAAAGCAACTAACAATTAAAATAATGATAATTTGAGTAAATAAAATAAAATATTTACCCGCTTAGTAAATATATTGATTTTTTTTATTTATCCACATGAAAAGCTCAAACCCAAGAAAGTGTTATATTAAGTTGTATTAAGCTTTATGCTAAATTTGCTGAGAGACTTCTTGTATTTAGAATATGTGTAGAAATGTAGAAATTAGAAATTTGTAGAATTTAGAATTGACTTGTCATATCAAAATTAATTGGCCGATTCTGCCGCAAAACATACCAATGTTATGGCAAGGCCATGTTACGCTCCAACTTGCATACATTTATGCTACTGAATCATACTGAATACTGTAAAAATGTCATGCATTTGCTGTGTTTTCAAGTGTGTTACACATAAACTGCAACGTTACTCGTATGTTATGAAGCTGCGTCAGAAAGACCCTGTTATCTAAAATCGTTTTTTTGACTTTTGTGCGGTTACTAAGTTAGGTTTTCTACCTGACAACCTAAATAAAACGCCTGGTTGCACACCAATTGCATGGCTTTTGATAACATTTAGAACGAATTAGTATGGAAATACATAACATAGCTTTATCATAACATTGGTATGTTGTACGGCAGAATTGGTCGAATTTACCGTCGTAGCCAAAGGATTAAATACTTTCAAAGCTTTTGATGTCCTTCATTCACCATATTTGATTCTTTAATATTCACATACCTGATAGTAGCAGCCATGTGATAAATAATATCGACGTTTTCAATAATTTCTTTCCTGTCATCTTCAGATATTCCCAAATTGATCTGTGTTACGTCTCCGCTTACAATTTTGCAATGGGACATCAATTCTGCTAATCCCCGCTGATTTTTTACGGTTTCGAATAACTGAAAGGAAAAAAAATATTTTAAACGCCAAAAGAGATAGCATATCAATCATATTTAATATTATAAAATAAAATGAGTTAGAATATTTTGTTAATTGTAAATACTAATGTTCAAATAAATATCTACCATTTGAGTTATGATTGCAAGCAATGACCCTAAATAATTTCTTTGTAAGTGCTTTTGGAGGTGGCACAAAGTTGTATAAAATTTGAAGTAAAATATTTCGAATAAGATCTGGAATCAAGCTTCTGCTATTGTTATTTTAGCTTTAGCTTCTTCTATTGTATGAAGTTATTGCTATTTTTTTCTGTTGATGAATGCCTGAGTGTTTTTGTCATGAATAATGAATTTAATTAAGTATTTTTTTTTTAAATATAGGACATTACCCATTGCAAAGTTTTACAATATTGTCTTTCAATTCCGTTAAAATATATTTAAATAATTTTGAAAATTTAAGTTATTTGCCACATTGTCTCCTATATAAAATTCATAACTGTTCAGAATTAATAACGTGCTGCTTTAAATTGAATAACTTAGTAGAATACTTGTAAAATATGCTAATCCAGCAATAAAATTCCGATATAAAGAAAACTTTAAACAGGTTTAGCCATTTAGAGTTATGCAAAAGTTAATATATTTTAAAATTGAAATATTTTTTATTCACTACAAATGTTTTTTAATTTTGATAAATGATAAATGAAGTACTAGATAACGATATACCTAATAACGTATTTCAAGAAAGATATTCAAATAATATTAATATTTCTTATGAAAATATTTTACAAACTTAATAATTAAGAAATAAACATTTTTGAAAGTTTTGAAAACATTTGAAAAAATTGAATATTGAAAACATAAAAAATCCTTTTTTCAAAATACTGATATATTTTAAAAATCTATAAAATATTTGAATATTTTTTTTTTTGAAAATTTCATTTCGGTTAATCCATATTGTCAAAATATCTAATTTTCGACTTTTTTTCCTGAATCTCCGAAACAGCAGCACCTGCCTTTGCAAAAATTGAATCAACTCTTTATTACGTCATTACAAGTGATTTTTTTTTAATTATTCAAATCGGTTGATCTGCACGCCCGAAATTGTCGACAAAAAATTGTATCTACACATATACACGGTACGCACAAACTGATGACCAATATTAAACTTTTCTAAATAGTATTTCACAATTGCAATTTCGCTCCAAGAATTCAATTTAGAATTAAATGTCTTTTGAAATATCAGACATCACCATAAAGTAATTCAACATGGAATTACATGAATAAAATATCATATTTTGCTAGCATCCTGTCAACGGTGCGTGCACCGTTTTTTACGAGGAGAAAATTTTATAATGTCCAATATAAAAGCAAGAGAAGATCTAAACGAACTTTCCATACGTTACAAAATTAAACGAATAAAATTAAACATATAAAATAAAACAGTAATGGTAATCAAATTATGAATCAGAATTTAGAACTTACTCTTTAGATTTAGTAAATAATATATAATGTAAAGTTATTATTACTGTTTTGTAATTTTATCTCATCCATTTTCAAACCAAAAATGACTACCACTGAGTAGCATTTTGAAATCTTATATTTATACATTAGTCACCAATTTGTAATTATATAAGAATAAAAAAACTCAGAATTTATATAGACTTTTATATTTGGTGATTTGTAGTAAATATCAGGTTGGCAACTAAGCAAGTGCGGATTTTTGTTAGTTATTAAAAGATAATTTTTTGTAGAACTAAATAATTTTCTTCTAAAATGTATTGTCCATTTTGATCACTGGCTTTTGTCATCTTTTAAGAAGCATCATTATCCTACTTTTATAAAACTGGCTTTTATTAGCAAAAAACTGAATCAGGTACAATTTGGTGTCATTAGCATTATTGTTTTTGTTTAAATTCAAGAAGTTTTATAAAGATTGAAACCAAAAGTAATCAGATGTGGTAAGGTTAGGTCTATATGGTGGATGTGGCCAAACATCCCAACCAAGCTTCAATAATCTTTGCTGAGTGGCCAAAGATATGTGATGTCAATAATGGAATAAATCACCGTTTGGATTTGCCAATTCAGGCCGTTTTTTTATCTGCATTGTTTAATTTTGTTAGTTGTTCAATACAGACATCAGAGTTGATTCTTCGGTTCGTGATAAAAGTTCAAAGAAAACAATTCATTTTTCAACTTTCAGTAAAAAACCGGTAAAACTAAATTTAGCAAACAAATTTGACATTGCCGTTATATAAAGTTTCATCATCATATCAGCAAATAACTTTACCTTTTTACCTTTTCAGAATTTAAAAACCAAAATATGCAAAAATATTCAATTTGATTTTCATTGTTTCAACGAACGCCAAACAAAAACTAGACAACGTATCAAAAAACTCTGCTCTAAAGTTTATAACTAAATTGCCTATTATCCAATAACAAAAGTATTTTACATTTTGAACGAAGTCATCAAACCTGAAAATTCAATTAGAACCAAATAAGAATTGAAGCCGTAATTAGTTGCCAACCTAATATATAAATATTTCTAGAATCCTAATCACGTGTTAGCCTTGAAATAATTTCAATATTCAACTATCACTTGAAAACAATCTGATATATGATGTACCACATAAAATAATTAAATTTAATTGGGTATTATTTGTTATATCAGTTCTCAAGAAAAGTCCAGGTGGAAAATTATTCAGATATCTTTTTTCAACCAAAGTGCAAAAGCGTCTAACTTCCAATTGCAAAAAATGCAAACAAGATATCATGCATATGCATAAGCATAATATATATATATATATATATATATATATATATATATATATTGCTTGTGTAAAATGATGTCAATTAGATATTACGTTATTATGCAATTTACGTATTGTGGTATCAATTCTCAGAATAAAACTGTTTTATAGTTATACAGAAACATATGGACGTGTTAATTGCAACCAAAAAAAAAACATAATTGTAGGTCAAAGACTAAAGTTTATATTATTTAAATATGATTATTAAATTGTGACAGTAATCATTCTATTGTAAATCCAATAATTTATTGCACTTTTTCTTAGTATTTCTCTGATGATAAAGCTATATGTTTCAAGACCTGTAATTGTCGTTTTATGTAATAGTCATTTTTAATTCATTCAATTGCGATGAACAAATGAATTATATATTTTTTTTAATATATTAAACGTTACAATTTTGATCAACATGCATTTTTTTATTTAAATATTGATTAATTGTGTTAAAAAGATTTTAATTTTCATGTTGATTTTATTATTCTATCATGATTTTAAAGCTATTTTCCAGATTTGATATCTACATCTGCCAGGTTAATCTCAAGCACTGAAAACATAAGTTTGCACTTGAAAATATACCATAATAGAATAACAAGAGACATTAGTTTTGAGAAGCACTATTATTAGATAAGAAAATCTAATAATAATCTCATTTAAGGAATAGTCAACCCCTGGGTTAATTTCTGGTAACACTAGGACAAGGATTCACATCACTACAGTTTATGGAACACATAGTTATGTTCAAGTATATACAAAAATGTATTTTAATAATGTTATTATGAAGTATGTAAATATTTAATAATATTACCGATGTACCCCAGAAATAATAATTTTTATTGCTAATAAGAAAAAAAAACTGTATCGCGATTTTCTCTGATCTTAAATTTATGAACATATGAATAACATATGAATCTGATTGCAAAAATTAGTAGTCAATTTTCACACACATGTAAATTATCGAATCGAAAAAATTGCAAGTAACAAACGTGTTGAAATCTTTTACTAGAATCGACTTCCTGGTGCTTAATGTTCTGCACTGAGGATTTGTGCTTCGGTGCATCAGACACGCTTTTGCGAATCCATATCACAATGGTCTCCAAAGATATAAAGTGCATGATGCCTTTTCATGCAAATCAGCCCGTGAAAACGTTACTGAATTTTCATTGTTACATGAAATTAGCGGCAAAGATTGAAAATTGTTCGATGGAAAATTGTTATAAGTAGAATTTTTATGCATGCACATGATATAAATATATTGGATGCAGAAGAATGCAGATGATATATATATATGAGTTGAAGTGGAAAATAGATGGAAATAGAAATTATATGTGAGGTGAAGGACTTATTCCTGGCTCAAGCGGTAAGAGCTTTTGGAAACACAAGGTTTTTATTTCTTGCTCAGATAGCTTGATATCAAGCAGTAATGTAGATTCAAACATAATTTCAAGTTAAAATAATCTGACCTGATAATGCTTTAATAATCGCAGTACAAAGAAAACTACTGAGTCGCCTTCTAATAATTCAAGATTATAAGGAAAGACATTATAACAGCTCATAGAACACAAGAATAGTTCTGATTGCTGTTTATATCATAAAAAATAATAATAATCGGTAGTACTGCCCTAGGACATGTCCGTGAACTAAGATAAACTGCAACTCAATTCAGGGAAAAATACTGTGAGAGATATCTCATTGCCATTTCACACTGCAGTGCCTAGCATGGATTATTTTCAAATTCGATACGTATTTTTGATCTATATTCTCAGGTGAAAATTGCTTTTACTACAATTGCATGATATCAGGTTATCCAGAGCAAGGGTCTGCTTCCACATAAGACGGTGCGCTTAACCGTTACGGCATAAAACAGCTTAAGGTATGAGATTAAAAACATATAAAATTGTTATTAATTATAGCGATATGAGTAAAATGATTATGAATTATTAAATATGAACTCATAGCTCAATCTCATAATAATCTTAATAAAGGAATAGTCAATCACTGGGTTGAGTTCTGATGGTAACACTAGGACAAGGATTCACATCATAACAGTTTATGGAACACGTAGTTATGTTCAAGTATATACAAAAATGTGAATTTGTACAAATTTTACAAAATTGTTTTGAGGAGCTAAAGATATTATTGTGCTTCAAAATTAAGCAATTAAAATCCAAATTAATTACACGAGTATGATAATTAATACGTTAATCGCCAAGATAATATCAGAAAAAAAATCACATGGACCATGATACGAAAGGCAAGAAATTTTCAGATTTTGTTCCTGATAGACCAAGCTTTCGAAAGCGCATATGTATCGTCAGACATCACACACATGTGACTGACATGGCAATTAACGTGTTAAAAATAACAAACTATACCTCAAATAATATATGTTGAATATAGTTGCAACAAAACAAACCTTAAAATGTTTATTCTTTTTGACTTTTGCAAGTTATTTTGCACATTACACGATAACAAAAAACATAATTATCATGCTTTTTAATTAACTACTTAAAATTCATACTTATTACACCTGTAACAAACAGTTTAGAAAAACAAACTGTACTCTTTATGCGTTTTGAAATTAAAAAATCGTGCAAATCTCATTATATGCAAATAAGAACAGGGACATTAAGCCATTTGCATAACAATAATTATAGGACAATTACCCTTATTATGATAGTATTTAAATGCTATCATTAGTTTTCAACGATAGATTTTATTTAATTTGATGATAAGCAAGAAATGGTAAATATAGATTTTGATTAAAAAGCAATCACAACTAATGACTGTAATGGATGAAATAACACACGAAGGTTTGAATTTATCACTAGTTAGGTTTAATACATAGCAAATATAAATAAATATGTTTGTGACTGACAGTTTCTATCACCAATTCATTCAAAAATTGGGCTGTAACATATAGTAGAAGAACCAGTGAACTATTTGACTAACCTGTTTTTACAGAGCTAGAATTTTTTGTAATGATATTTTATTACCGACCCATTAAAAAGTACCATTCTGGCAGTCATTTCGCGATTTTGTCATCATCCCTTCAATTTGTGAAAACGTAAAAAAAAAAATTTCGTAACTTGCTCCCACAAGGCTCAAATTTTGAGGGTGTATTCTTTTAACTGTTCAGAAAGCATATGTAAAAAGCCAGCCCATTCTGACGGTTGCAAGGGTCTGCCAGTCGAGTACATAATAATCACAACGCGCCACATGACATACATGATCGACTAACACCCTTGTATTTGAATAATTTATACGCCGTCTTGAAGGTCTTTTTGAAAACATCCGATATACTAAACTTCAACTTTGTATCTCACCTTATGGCCGAGATATTGAAAATATGCCAAAGTGGCCCCTTTTTCAAACTCAATTTTTGGCGTAACCATAAAAGATATTGAAAAAAAATTACGTGATTCTACTCATATTGGTTTAGACCACATAATGTATATTAATATATGCTAAATAATCCTTCAAAAACCCTCATACAAGATGATGAACGAAGCTTTGTTATATCATATGCATCGCGTAATAGAACTTTGCGATCATAATTGTGTTATACAAATACACTTATATACAGCAACGATATTAAAACAAAGTCTAGAAATATCATTTCCAAATTTGATAAATAAATAAAGTGTATGCTATCTATTAAAGGTCAAATTTCTACTAAAACTATGCATTTCCAATTTGTGGTCGCAATAAATAAATGAGTATAATAACTGAAGATGACAATGTAGTTCTGAAACATTATATAACATAAGCCATTTATTTTATGTATAATGTTGATAGCGTCGCATAAGTTGCAATATATGATGATTATTTAATCATAAGACTTACCGCAGAAGAGAAAATTTCTTCTAATCTTTGTTTGGGATCTTTTCCTTTCTTTGGCCTCACCAGCAAGTACATCGTTTTCACTCCGGTACATGATCTGGAACGTAAATTTATGGCAATTAAAATAGAAGTTAAAATTTTAATGAAGTCAAAACAAAATTATTTATAGATATTTATTTTCGATGCAAAGTGAAAATTATTACAAATATACACCAAAAACCAATGACAATAATTGTGTTTTCCTCAGATTTCAAGACTGAAAGTTGAATACTTTAGTTTAAATTTACAAGCTGTTAAATATCGCCATTATAAATATAAAATATTTGTTAAGGATAATGATTTATATGAAACATTTTTTGAGAATCCATCTTCTACAAAACGTTTCAAGAAACATATTCGACCTAAACATTAGATCCGCGATTTGAACAAAAAAAATATAATAGTAATTATTTGAATCATACATGAAATATATACAGGGTGTCCCAGATACCAGAACTTAACGTCAAGCCGAAACCAAAGTTTTAATGGACAAAATTAAATGTTAACCCAAATATAAAAATTAATATTAACCTAGAAATGGTCATTAAGCTCTAGGTTGCACCTTAAAGCTCACAATTTCCATACAACGTGAAATATTTTTTTATAAAGTTTTGAGACACCCTGCATATTCATAATATATATTGGGGTGGGTCAAATATGTTGTACATTTTATCAATTCTGATTTTATGAGTCATTTCTAGAAACTGTTTCAAAGAAACTATAGCCTTTTATATATTTACATATCAATTTATAATAAACTCATGTTGACGCGTCCTTACATGTGAATATTCAAAACCTTTAAAATATTATAGGCCTAGGTTAAAATTATATGTAAGCTGACAGAGTTCCTTAACTCTGTATTAGTTTAGAAATAATTTTTTAAATATGGTTTAGAAAATTTATAGGTGAAGACAGAGGTGTAATTGTGCCATGGCATCTGACAGTCAAAACGAAGCCCTTAAAATATTATAGGCGTACAAGTGGTTAAAAAATATACATAAGCTGGCAACATTTCTGAACTCGATATTGGACTAAAAAAATTGTCTAGAAAATTTATATATCAAGAAAGAGTTGAATAAGTGTTATTAACGAGGTTGAAATTTAACCATGGCATCTTTTCTGTACATTTTAAGAGGTTTGGAATTATATTGAAGAAAATATGTAATTAAGTATCTTCATTAATATAATAAGAAACCGAACTGAATAGGATCAACTGACTACATTATTCTAGGATACAATTTTATTTGAGGAATACAGAACATTTTGGAAAAAATTTACTATCTTCGTTCGTAATATGTAAGTAGGTAATCTTATAAGTGAAAATTATCTGTATATTATTATGTACGTGGGTAAATGTTTATCGGTGGTCAAACAAATAAAAAGAAACATAAAAAGCTGGATGGGCTCAAATATGCAAAGAAAGCGTAAAAGTTAAACCCGAGACCATCCTAACAAAGACAAAAAACATTTTAAGTTCATGTATAGTACACAGCCAGATAGTCTAAATTTTAACTAAAAATTATAATTGAACCTCTTCTCATAACCTATCCTCAATTTAGAGGATTCGTTTTGACTCTCAATCCTATAACCAAGGAAAGTGTAAAACTATAACCCAGGCGTGTAAACCTTTTCTTGCAAGTAGATATTTAAATGTATAAAGAAAATTTTCATTAAACATTTTGCTGGCCCCAAATTTACTTCTGAGCTATAGTTTTTTAAATCATTATGTTGTGTTATTTTGCATATTTGTAACAATAAAAGTCGTTTTAAAGAATTTTGGTGTTAATAGCTATTGTTTTGTAACTCATTCGTTTGTCTGTCACAACCGTCCTGAGAGTGTGGACAATATTTCAGTATTTCCTCGCAGACAAATGTTCAAATTACCATTTAATTTAATTTTTCTCCCAGCTAACTGGTAAATTATGTCTGATTATAAAAAAGTGGCACAACCGTACCCAGTCTCCCATATATTAGCATTCACATATTTAGTTTATATTAATTATGAAAATGTCTATTTATTTGGCGTGCGATCAGGCGTAATTCACATATAAGCAAGCAAGGAATAATCTTATGACAACTGCACCTAGAATTTTGTTATCATAACATTATTCCTTGCTTGTTTATATGTGAAATACGTCTGATCGCATAGCAAATAGATGGACATTTTCATAATTTTTATTACCAAGAACAAAGCATAAGAGACCATGACAACGCTATTTTATGAGCTCTGTTATGGCAGAATCGCCCAATTAGTCTTTTTTTTATTTATGTTCTTTCAAATTGAAACTGATTTCAAACTGATTATGACTAAATCATGTGTCAAAACATTTGCTACAATAAAGGTTTTCAAAGTTTGAATGCAAATTGTTAAAAATTTTATTACCTGATTCCACGTCAAATTGTATAAATATATATATATATATATATATATATATATATATATATATATATATATATATATATATATACTTATATGGATGTAAAAATAGTTAACTAATTCAACGAAGAAAGTTGCATAAATAACCGGTATTAGCCGTGTTCTACTTGTCTCCTGGATCGTTCGTTCTTCTCGGTCTTACATAATAAATTCAAGAGTCTGTGACCTCAAAACGCAAAAAATTCAAAAAATTGATTCGTACATCACGTGTTTTCGGTTTCAACGTCACGCCATCAAAAGTTGTTTTATTGTGGAACAAGATTTAAAAGCCATTCAACAAGACGGTCTGATCGAAATACAAATCGGTAAATGATTAATAACCGGTAATTACTGCAGGTACGAGCCTTGAATCAATACAACATGCTATAGAATTTTTGTAATAATTTTTGTTTAAAAAAATTCGTAATTTGAGACGTAGGGTAGGGTGGGGCACAAAAATAAATTTGAAAATAATGATATTTTTTGATTGATAAAAATAATGATATTTCGTATGATACATTATTCTTATTTAATTAATATATAGAATATAAAGTTGGATCAGCAGTTATAATCGAATCCTTGAATTTACATATTATAGCGATTTTCTTGCAGAAAATTCAAGAGTAAATTCTATATTTTTAAAATTTTGGTGTAGCGAAATTATAAAGCAAATAAGTATGAATTTTATATATTGTAGCAAATAGTAAATACCTTAAAATTTTTTCGACCAGAACCTTTCCCATAAAACCAGTTCCGCCTGAAACAAAGATGCATTTCCCTTTGAACATCTCTGCCACGCGATCTATGTCTTCCGACATATTTGCCTAGAACAAAATAAAGATTTAGAATTTATCATAATTAAATTTTAATATTATTTCATTTAGAAAACAAAACTATAAACTCTCTTTTCCACAAATATCCTGTTCTAATCTAGCAAAGACACGTTCTGTAATTTTAGTCAGCAATTTGTATTCAATAATTGAACAGAAAAATAGGAATCCAAAAAATACTATTTTTTTATAGAAGTATGATTTAAATCAGGTCATACTGTATGCTTGGCAAAATTCATAATTTAAATATTTTTTTATATAAAATATTCCAACTGCACTAAATACATGTCAATTGCAAAAAAATGTAACAGTTTCAGTAAACTAATATTCCTTATAAACAAACTCAATTGTTTATTTTTTATTAATATAAGAGCTAATAAAATGGAAGTGATACTTAAGACCATAAATTAAATCTAGAGTCGAGCAGTTTTCTATTATAATTTTTTATTAAATTTTTTGTTAACTTTCTTTCTGAAGTAAAACTTCTTTAGGCGCGGCTAGGGTGTAAATCGGTACAAATGCAACGGAAGTTCGTTACGCCCGAACTGTTTGTTATTCGCTCTCGATGAGATCATTTCTATACGGGTCGATTGTGATCAGCCGTCGTGTATGTGAATAGAGATCAGCTGTTGTATGCGTACCGATATCGACAAAGAAATCGGCATAGATAAATAAACATTTTAAAGTTATATCGTAGTACAAATCTTGATTTAATGAAAAATGCCTGAATCAGAAGAATATTTTACCCTGTTCCTTGAGAATAATAAAACAAATTAAACATTTGTTTCGTGAACTAAACGTAAGTTTATTGATTAGAAATTATCTCTATATTATTCGTAGTTCCTATAAATCTTTGGAGTTATTAAAATGGAAAATATTTTTTAGGAAAGACAGTTTAGGCGTTGTTTTACATAATCCACTGTGTGAACGAATATAATAGAATTTATTAAGCAATTACTTCATTTCTCTAATAAATTCATTTTTAAATGCTAATTACAATGACAAACCGATCATGTCATATTTGAATTGACTATTTTTAATGTTATTACAAGTATATAATTTATAATTTATCATTATATAAATGTGTCTAATGGTTGACACTAATAAATGTGTGCATCACGAGTGTTACCATATTATTCAAAAACATTATTCAAAATTGTTATATGATGTATTTATTTTTACTTAAATGTCATCTTGTACAGTAGCAAATAAGTTTTACTTCAATCGCGTGTGAACCTTACGCGCACTCTGTTTTTTGTTTTCTGTGTATTTTTGAGACTTTTCTGTTTTATCCTTCCATTGATTTCTAATAAAATATCAAACTCGATTTGTTGCAATTGATGTAAAAGTAATAAAAACAAAGCGAGACTTAAGATGAAAATTTAAATCAAGAGTCGTGCATTTTGCAGTATCCTATAGTAATTTGTTTTTGTAAAAAACGATATTGATTATGTCCTCAGTTAAATATTAATGATAATGTTTCATTATTTTTGAGACAGTTCTATTCGACCACCCATTAGTTTTCAATAAAATGTGAATTTTTAAATACGAGCAGTATGTAAATGTAATCATTCGAATTCCATTTATTTATTCCATTATGCAATGGAATAAATAAACCAAATTAGCTTCATTGCATGCATTAAATTAATGTACTTTCTATGAATTACTCCATAGTACAACACGATTTACAGATTGCCATTGTGCAAATGTGACATTTAACACATATTACTCTATAAATTAATCATAGGTTACAATAGTCTTCTAATAGTAATGTAATCTTATTATGAATGGTAGTAAATTTAGTAGATTAGATCCAGTGTTAGACCAATCCTTCACTATTAGTGTATTGCGATTTAGGCAAATGAATAGAAGTGCTGAAGTAATCAATTATATAACTTTATAACATTATATTATACTATATTATATTATATAGAATATAGAAATCCAATGTTACCAACCAAATAATTACCGTCATAGGTAATTCATCATTCAGATCATGATTCTTGTTATTAACCTTATAATGATGCTCGCAAATACTTTGACCATAATATTAATGCCAAACTCTGAATTAATCAACAAAATTCAATTTTTAATAGCAACGAATTTTCCAAATATTTTTTGTCCCATAGTCAAAATCTATCTGAAGAGTTTCGAACTGATAACTATTTGGAGAGTTTTGAACTGTGGTTCTCATCAGATAAGATAAAAATGAAGCAATTTTTGGAAGAGTAGACATAGAAAGAACTCTACTGAGCACGATTATTAAAAGGAAACAAAACTGGTTCAGACCAATTCTGCAAAAAGAATGCCTCCCACACGACTGGGAAGAAGAAGAATGCAGATGATTGATGTCTTACGCGAGAAGAGAAAATACAGGAAACTATAATCCGATTCGCAAGACCAGGAAGCATAAGCACAAGTTTAAAAAAATGCATAAAAATGAATAAAAAAGTGATTAATAGTAATAGTAATAGTAATAGTAATAGACTACCTACTTATGATCAGTAAAACACGTCCACTCACAATTTTTTAAAACTGCAATTTATTCAACAATTTTGAACATGACAATAGATATTAATAAAACATAAAAATTAACATAACATAAGATGAGGACATCATGAGAACTAGCAATTCCTTTATTCTACCCGGGAGAAAACTTCCATCGTGTCATCTCCCAGCCGGTGCCACAATTCTAACTTTTCTTTTACCAAATGGATATTTACTGATTTATATTTTATGTCTATATAGACATGATTGGGCCGTATTCTTCTCCAAAGATTGCATATAAAACTAGCTTGGATCACTGTATTTTCATAATTTCTTTTGACGATTCGAATTTTTAATCTTTGATCTTTAACATATGCAACTATACGGGATCCTCTCTCTAACTTAGAAGTTAAAAGAAATTTTAAATTTATGCTGACCACATTTTGTCGCCATAAACATGGGCGCATCTCAGGCATATCCGTAGACGTTTTGATTTTAATTAATTTCTCAATAATCAAATATTTATAATTATAGTTATTGTTTGTTTATTGAAAATGTGTCAAAACAAAAGGTGATAGTGACGTTACCGAGTGAATAACAGTTGGCGAAAAGCGTCGAATTATCCCGATTGCTTAAATGTCATATGTCAGGTTTTTAACAAGAAAGGAAATGAAAATCCATTACAAGTTTGAAGTAGATGAAATTCTATGATTGTAAATAATGATTAATTTTAACTATACAATTTAATGCACTTATAAGAGATTAGAGAACTCCAACACTCGGTGGAAACTTCCATTCTTTTAATTACTATCCCAAAATTTTATACCCCCCGAAAAGTGCACCTTTAGAAGGTTATTTGCGGAAGTTGTTTCATTCTAATAAACGCTTCCAATAGTGTTAACATAAGATTAGATCACAACTTTCTACATAATTCCTAATTAAGTCTTCTACATTTTTTTTTAACAAATAAATAAGATCTCATTCCTCTTATCAGTGATATACGTATCTAAATAATAATACGTAAATATCTTCCATATTTTTATTCTTATTTTTGTTTCTGAAGTAAAACTTCTTTAGGCGCGACTAGGGCGTAAATCCGTACGAATGCAACGGAAGTGCGTTACGGCAGATAAGAGTCGATAAGATAAGAGTCGATTGCCAATGATTCGTCATTCGCTCTCGATATCATTTCGATTGCTATTAGTCGTCGTGTATGTGAATAGAGATCTGTCGTTGTATGCGTAACGGCATCAGCGTTGTATGCGTACCGGTATCGACGTTGTATGCGTACCGATGCCAACAAGGAAATCGGCAAAAAATTTAAAGTTACATCGTAGTACTAATCTTGATTTAACGAAAAATGCTTAAATCAGAAGAATATTTTACCCTTTTCCTTGAAAATAATAAAACAAATTAAACATTTGTTCTGTGAACTAAACGTAGGTTTATTGATTAGAAATTATTTCCATATTATTCGTAGTTTCTATAAATCTTATAAAGTTATTAAAATGGATAATAATTTTAGGCAATTACATCTGTTCAAAGAATGAGATTATATCGCCAGCAAAAAAGTAAAAATAAATACAAGCAGTCAATAAATGTATGTTAATTTTAATTACATGATGTTCTTTAAACACAATTATATGATGAGTGAAGTTGCGAAAACAATATTTGTTAACATAATCCACTGTGTAAACAAATATAAAAGAATTTATTAGTCAGCAATTACTTCATTTCTCTAACGAAGGTTCATTTCTAAATGCTAATTACAATGACAAACCGATCATGTCATATTTGAAGTATGACTTTATATACATTATTTTTTTTTAAATATTATACATATTTTTAATGCTACTATAATTAGTCTATCACAAGATCGTACTCCTATAAAATCGAAAAAATAAAAATTCTTGTCTCACATGACAAACTCGACATTTATGCTTTTTTTTATTTTTAGTATAAAAAATATAATTTTCCATCTTTCATAATTTAATTAATATTATTAAAAAACACAATTTTTATTTTTTGAGTATATTGTTTTTGGTTTGTTTAAATCTTCTCAAGATTATGTTACTTGACAGATGTCGACTTAGTTCCGATACATCGATAATAAATAAAAATCATATTTAAAAAACTTTTTCATTTTTTATTATTATTGGATTCTCTGTTCGAAGCTCTACAGAATATTTATAAATCTAAGATTTTTTCCTTTCCAAAATTTCACATTCAAATAACAACCTTCAAAAGAAAGTGTTGGCATCATCAATTTTTTTGAAATTGATTCCAAATAAAATTAATTCAAAAACAGACAAGAACATTACATGATTCTCAAAATTTTTTATTTCATAAATTTATGAAACAAAATTGACGTTTATATTCACACAAAGATTATTGATTATAAACAGACACACAGCAATAGAATCATACAAAAAAGGACTGAAGATTACAGATTATGAACATATCATCAAAATAAAATCAATCTGTAAAGAAAATGAATTGGATTTTCATTTTTAAACTGGAAGCAGAAGAGAAAAGACGTATTTTTAATCATAGTTTTTTGGTACGTTTTGTTGTTTAGTGTATTGTTGTGTGTCACGTGATATTTGCTTAGTGTCATTATAGTGAAAAGTGAATTTCCCCAGTTTTTTGATAATTAAATAGTGTTTATATGTATTATTTTTTTGTGATTTTTATCGAAATTTTTTGAAGAAGAGGACCTCTTATATCCTTAATTTTGATTTTTTTTATTATAAATAAAAAAAATATTGGAAATATTTTTTTTGATAGTTGGTAACCCTATACAAATAACCATATTCAGACTTTTATAAACAATATGTCAAATCAAAGAACGCTATTGGTCGATTCTGTGGTGTAAAACAAATACCTGCCATCACTTGTGCCTACAAAAAATATCATTAAGTGCATCAAATTTGGTTAATTAAAAACAAATAAATAATCAACAATGTCATATGTATATGGACCTTCCAAGCTCACTCCTTACCGATGGCAGCAGACCAATAGTAAAATCTGCTTGCAGTTCTTTTATTCTGGATTGATGGAACACATGTGCATAGTCGCACATGTTGAAGGAAATAAAGTGACGATTGTAACTCATAAAGATAATCTTACAAGGACTCATGTGTATGAACTGCATAAACCAGTTCAATCGCGATTAATTTTCGAAATCGATGAAAATATTTTGCGCACCCATATCGAAAAAGTGGAACCTGAAATTTGGGACCAACTGGGAGGCGAGGAAATTCAGGCCGCCTTCGAGCAATATGACTGAGAAAATTAGATAATTTATTCATGCAAATTGTCAATAAATTTTGTCAATAAATTTTTTTTATATCTATTTTGTGTTTGAATTGATGTATTGGTTTATATTTTTTCACAGTGCCGACATTATTTGATCATATTTAAAGGATTTGACATTTAATGCTTAAAGAGTCACCAAGGAAAGTCTTGTATATGAATATATTGACAAATATTGATTAGTGAATTCTAGGATATAATTGCAGTGTGATGTAACAAGTTTCAAGAATTCGAACTGATTTATTTTGATATTTGTGCAATTTGGAGGTTAGGTTTCAGCAGTTGAGAAGCGCCGAAGCAAATATCATAGGAATAGCTTTTTGAAGAGACTCTGGTAATATAACATAAATATTTATCGAGAATTAGCCCATAATATAAATTATACTAAATGCTATCTAGACTATTTTTGTAGACATTATTTTCGTTAAATTGTATTCAGAATTAATATAATTTTATATGATAATAGGTTTAAACAAAGTATTTTTGTAATCGTAGCTGATAGTATTAGGGTAGGACAAGGCACAAAGATCCAAGTTGACTTTTAGTTATTATACTAAGAAAACCTAACCAATTACAGCACAACTAATAACACCTATCAAACATTATGTAGAAATACGCTTTTTTGCTATTTTTCTAAAATTTTGTCCTTAATACCTTATTGGCGAGGTAAGAAGGTACAGCCCAGAAGCAAAAAATTCAATATTTAATTTTTAATTTTAAAAAAGTTGTACGGAATGATAGATAACATTTTTAGTCATTGTAATGCAGATTAATCATTAGGTTAGGTCATAAAATTTAAAATTAAAACTTGAGTATATATTGTTAAAGTATAAAAAAAAAGTATATAAAAAAGTTGTCTATTCTTACTACTTAATACTATAGAAAATCGTGTTTTGGTAGGTTCTTCTGTCTAATTTATCCTAATCAGACTCGTTGAGAATAAGAATATTGTATTGAGGTACAATTATTACAAATAAAGTGAATACAACTTTTGCTTGAAATATATATTTTATGAACACATTTTCTCAAAGATCACACTGAATACAACCGTCGTATTAAATTTCGTCGAAAGTATTCATCATCAGAATTAGAATAACTATTGATTTTATTTATCTTTTATTTACTGTTTTTTATTGTTTAAACATTTGCTTGTGTAAAATTTCAATTGGTCATTTTTGTCCAACCCTCCAACCAAATGTTTTTTTAAAGGTTATATAAAAGGAATGATCGAATTTAACATAAAATAACAATATAAAGCATATATAAAACAATTAATATAAAATTATAAAGAAATATTATTGCTCAAACCAAAAAAAAATTGAAAAATTGACAAGGTGGTCTTTATCTTCTGATAGAGGACGTCGCGCTGATTTTAGGCAATGTCTAGTTACACATCTTTTGCCCTTTACTTTGAAAGAGTATTGTTAAAAAATAC